CTGACTTTCATACTTTGCTTTAAGTTGTTGATTAAGAGAGCTGATCCTATCACTACTTCTCTTCAATGAATACATGGCACTTAGCAAAAGCCATCCAATTCCTTGGTCCTTACAACTAGTTTCTCACATACTTCTTCCACTGCATCCCATCCCAGATAAACACAGGTGAAAATCTTAGCAATTGCATTGTTATATCAGGTCAGGAATTATTAATATTCCTCCAATTGCCAGTGTTGGTGACCTCATTGTCATTCAGCTGTTGAGTGATCTTATGCCTGGAATCCCTTGGAGACTGCTTTCTAGGACCACTTCTGAAGCTAAATGTTTTTCACTATGAGTTAAGGATGAGGATGTTTGTTCAGTTCATTAATTGGAGATGTGCTCTCGGAGAAACAGAATCAGGGAAGCAATATAGGACAGTGGGAAAAAGCTAAGCAAGAATGTGGAGTGGCTGGAGACTAGTTTTACACTCATTCTACAGGGAAACTCTGAAGGACAAATTGTATCCTTAAATTGTATACTTAAATTAAAGGAATTCGCTAGGTGTGGTGGCTCATACCTATAATCCCAGCACTTTGGGAGGCCAAAGTGGGAGGATTGCTTGAGCCCAGGAGTTTAAAACCAGCCTAGACAACATAGGGAGACCTCATCTCTACCAAAAAAAAAAAAAAATTAGCCAGGCATGATGACATACACCTGTAGCCCCAGCAACCCAGGAGGTTGAGGAAAAAGGATTGCCTGAGCTCAGGAGTTGAGACTATGGTGAGCTGTGATTGTGCCATTGTACGCTAACATGAGTGACAGAGTGAGACCCTCAAAACAAAAACAAAAAAATTTAATGGAACTGACCTTTATCCCTGTGTCAGTCAGTCACTGGCCAAGAGGTGGGTATAAGTGCACAGTCCCCTAGGCAAGGTTGATGCCTATTTAGCTGAAGGAAATTCTCTGAAGAAAGGGGTAGTTGTGAGTAGTTATCAGTCAATATTTATAACAGCTGCGAGATGGGTGCCCAGGAAGGTACAGCAGATATGGGCAAGGCATCGATAGTATGCAATTCAGTAACAGTCCTGAATGTTTAGGGGAGCACCGCTAATCTCCTGCCTACTGTTGTCATGGGCCACACTGTTTTCATCTCAAGCTTGGATTTGGGAGTCTTAGTAAGGCTGGAAGCCTCCCACAACATGGGCGTGTTCCCTAACACTACAGTCATTCATTAAGGTACCACCAAACTCCCCAGGATTCGTGAGGAAGCAGAATATGGCTCTTTATGCTCATGAAATGAACAAAGCCTGCATTCCCATCCCATCTCAAGCACACCTCTCTTTGGAATGCCTCTTTTATAAATAAGGGAATTGAGGCTCAGGGAGGCTAAATGAATTTTGCACTAAGACTGACAGAGGCAAGACTTTGGTGTTGACTTACAAGCCTCCCACTACAGCTGGGTTTGGCAAATTGTGGCCCATGGGTCACATCTGCCTCCCTCCTTTCCCCACCTGTTTTGTAAATAAAGTTTTATTGAAACATAGCCATTCACTTGCTTATGTATTGTCTGTGGCTGCTTTCACATTATAATGGCATCACTGGCTAGTTGTTACAGAGACAGTCTGGTCTGCAAGGCCAAAAATATTTACTATCTGGACCTTTACAATGAAGTTGGCTGCCTCATGCTGGTTCTTTCCCTTTTTTCTGAGTTGGAGTCTCACTCTGTCACCCAGGCTTAAGTGCAGTGGCACACTCACGGCCACCACAGCCTCGACCTGCTGGACTCAGGCGATCCTTCCACCTCAGTCTTCCAAGTAGCCAGAACTACAGAGGTGCATTACCACACCCAGCTAATTTTTGATTTACTGTAGAGACGAGGTCTCACCAAGATGCCTGGGCTGGTCTCAAACCCATGGGCTCAGGCAATCCTCTCGCCTCGGCCTCCCAAAGTGCTGGGATTACAGGTTGAGCCATGGAGCGCAGACCATCATGCTGCTTCTGTGAACTCCACTGGCTTTTTTTGCTGATTCTGAGACTTTAATCGGAGGAGGGGTTTTCCCTGACACTTAGAGAGATAGCACAAGTTAGGTCTTAAAAACCCACTTTCTTCTATACTAATGAGAAATAGGACAGTGTTACTTCACTAGAGGGGATCTCAAAAGTCCTCAGGAGAGCCAGGCATGTTGGTAGTTCCAGCTATGTTTGGAAGCTGAGGCAGGAGGACTGCTTGAGCCCAGGAGTTAGAGGCTGCAGTGAGCTTTGATTACACTACTGCACTCCAGACTGGGCAACAGAGCAAGACTCTGTCTCTTAAAAAAAAAAATTGTGGATCTTCCAATTCAGAATTCTGCAGTCTTTGTGAATGAACTATGAATGAATGAATGAATATTGATACGTATAAAGGAAAAGGTCTGGAAGGATGCAGACATTTGGTGGGTTGTTACCTGTGGTAGAAGGAGGAGCAATATTAACTCTTCACTTCTTCTGTATTATTTGTATATGTGTGTATATATAATTATGTACCTTTTGCCATAAAAAACAAAGAAACACACACAATGAGAGAGGCAGAGGCAGAGAGACAGGGAGAGGAAGAGAAAGAGGGGGAGGGGAGGAGAGAGAGAGAGAATGATCCCCCAGTAGTGTTTAAGGAAATAATCTTTCTAGGATGATGGATGCAGCTGTGTTCATAGTGAGATGGTTGACTTAATGACCTCACTTGCTCCTGGCATCGATACCATGACAGATAGGCTGTCTCAGACTCCTCAGGTTCCATGTTCCTTTATGGGCAGAGAGTTGGAAGAAACATTCAGACTGAAATACTACAATTTCTGCAGAGGCAAATTAATTGCATATTTGTGAAGATATAATTGCAACTCTTTTCCCATTTCTCAAGAAGCTAGTATGAAGATTAAGTTGTGGATGTCAGAAACTAGTCATGGAATATTTCAGCTTTTATCAGAATTGCTGCAAGATATAAAGGGATGACTTTTATCTATTAAAAAAAATTCCAGGCTGGGCTCGGTGGCTCAGCCTGTAATCCCAGCACTTTGGGAGGCTGAGGTGAGTGGATTGCCTGAGCCCGCGGGTTTGAGACCCGCCTGGGCAACTTGACTAGACCTCACTTCTACAACAAATCAAAAATTAGCCGGGGTGGTAGTACGCGCCTGTAGTTCCAGCTACGTGGAAGGCTGAGGCGGAAGGATCGCTGGAGCCCAGGAGGTTGAGGCTGCAGTGGCCGGGAGTGGCCATTGCACTCCAGTCTGGGTGACAGAGTGAGACTCCAACTCAAAAAAAAAAAAAAAAAAAAAATTCCAAGTAATATATCTTGGGGCATTGAATACATAGTTATAGATTCATTTCATTATTTTGTTGTTGTTGTTTTGAATCAGAGTTTCACTCTGTTGCCCAGGCTGGAGTATAGTGGCACAATCATGGTTCACTGCAGGTAACCCTCCTGTTAGCCTTCTGAGTAGCTAGGACTACAGGTGAGCACCACCACACTCGGCTAATTTTTAAAATTATTTTGTAGAGACCAGGTCTCACTATGTTGCCTAGGCTGGTCTCGAACTCCTGAGCTCAAGCAATCCTCCTGCCTCAGCCTCCCAAAGTGCTGGGATTACAGGTGTGAGCCACTACATCTGGCCCATTTTTCTTTTTAATGGTGGTGCAATATTCTACTGTGTATACCATAATTTATATGTGTCTCTACTTATACACATGTAAATTGGTCCTCTTTTTTTTTTTTTTTTTTTGAGTTGGAGTCTTACTCTGTCGCCCAGGCTGGAGTGCAGTGGCACGAATGCTCAGTTACCCCATTGTTGACCTGCTAGACTCAGGTGATCCTTTTGCCTCAACCTTCCAAGAAGCCAGAACTACAGGTATTTGCTACCAAGTCTTGCTAATTTTTGATTTATTGTAGAGAAGAGGTCTTGCCAAGTTGCCCGGGTCGGTCTCAAACTCGAGGGCTAGGGCAGTCCACTCATCTCGGTCTCCCAAAGTGCTGGGATTACAGGCTGAGCCACCAAGCCCAGCCAATTCATTTTTTTTGTTATTATTACTGTTGCAGTGCTGCAATACTAAATATTTCTGTACAGAAATATTTGAGTCATTTGTGCAAGTATTTTTTTTGGATACATTTAAAAGGTTATGTAATTTAATTTTAATAGATATCAAAACTGTCCCCTATAAAAAGATCATACAATTTATAATCTTACCATCAAACTTTTTCGTTGTTTCTTATTTCTACTTTTTCTAATTACCATCAAGATTGACAACCTTTAAGTATATCTGCCTTTCATGTTGTTGCTTCTGTGAATGGCTTTTCTTAATTTTAAAAACGTATTGTCTTTTCCCCCATTGATTTACAGGAAAACTTTTTCAGTTACAGATATTACCTATTTCACTTTTTCTCTGTAAGTTTCACAATATTATTTCATACATTGACACATTCCCAATTTACATTTATCTTTGAGCATTGTTATGACTTTCACCAAACAGACACTTGCAACTTAATGTAGTCAAATATGTCTTTTCCTGTATTGCTTCTGAGTTTTCTGTTATTTTTAGAAACACGTATCTTTCAAAGATTACATTTTCTATTTTTTCGTCCGTTGTTTTTATAATTTTAGTTTTCATACTTATATCTTTAATCCAAACATAATATTTTGTAAGAATGAAAGTAGGGTTCCTCTCAAGTTAATTTTTCTCCAGCCTGGCTTGCAGGGAAGGGCTTTCTAGAGCGATTTTACCGAGCGCGAAGGGACACGGCCACCTGGGGACCTACTCCTTTCTGACACCCACGTGTGCTCGGCACTTGACTTATACTGCGTGACTTTATCCTCAAGCGAACTTTGAAAATATCAATTTGTAGACAGAGAAACTGGGCGTTACATAAGGTACGTGACCTGAAGCGCCAGCACTGGAGGAGACTGGGACAGTGCCAGAGGCAAGCACGGAATGGGATGCTCCCCACGCCGCGCCCGCTTTCCATCTTCTCGCGACACTTTTACGTCATCCGAGAGCGCCGGAGTCGAGGCAGTCGCGCGGCAGGCGTCGTGCCAGGTTTGGTTTCGTGGTGCTGTCTCACTGGTGAGGCCGAGAAGCCGGCGAGTCCCGAGGCCGGTCGAACTTGCAGTTTTCAGCTTTTCGTCACCATGGAGTATCTCATCGGTATTCAGGGCCCTGACTATGTCCTTGTCGCCTCCGACCGAGTGGCCGCCAGCAATATTGTCCAGATGAAGGACGGTAAGAGGAAGCAGGGGAGGCCCGGCCGGGCCTTGGGTATAGGGACAGCCTGAGGGAGTTCTTGGAGAGGGGTGGGGGGAGCAGTCTGCAGGTGGAACCCAGTGTGCCCTACCCGCCCTTATTTTTTATAACGGAGGAGCCGAACAGACAAGCCTGGGGCCTTCGCCTTCGCTTCTCCCGGGGGTGCTAGGTCAGTGCTCTGTTCTGGCCTTCGCCGGACGCTTCTTGCTAGGTGAGAATTGTCTAAAGGGGTTCAGTTTTTAGGTGTTTAAGCGCCGGCTTGCCACGTGGCTCCCTAGACTCCGAATGTCTGATAAATTTCCTGTTGTAGCTAGTAAAGAAGTCAGTTAATTTGAAGCGGCATTGATGGAGTCCTGAGGGAAAGCAAGAAGGTGGTGCCCGAGTCTTGGCATTTCTCTTCCGCTGCAGTATCTTTCCGTGGCTCAGCCCGACCCTTCTTTTCCAATTTTTCAGGGCACTGACTGCCAGGTTTTCCTTATAATTAAGTAGTTAATGAAATCTAGAAGAATGGAGCCCTGTCACTTACTTGCTTAAATTTCCTCATCTGTAAGATTAGCAATACCAAACTCACAAACTTGTCGGAGGATTGAGTGAATGAGTTATGTGCAGATGCACTTGATAAATACTTAATAGTAAGAATGCTAAGCACTTGTTGTGTATCAAGTGCTACGTTAGGTGATTTTCATTAGTTCACTTAACCTTTTGAGATAGGCAATATTTTATCGCTACGTCATAGGCGTTAGTTCCGAGACACAGAGGTTAATAAACTTGCTTGAGGTCACAACTGGCAGAACCTGGGTTCAACCTATGCAGTCTGAGTCCAGATCTTTAGCCCATAACTACTATACTATACTGTCTACAGTAGGTACCCAATATATAACGTGTGTGTGTGTGTGTGTGTCGGCATCTCATTTTGTTGCCCAGGCTGGAGTGTAGTATGGCAGGATCAAGTGTTGAGGATTATAGGCGTGAGCAACTGCACCTGGCCCATATAACTTTTTAAAAAAAATTTGGTTGTTGGTCTGCAGAATCTAAGAATGTGTTTTCATGATTGATCATAGGTGTACTGCTGTTGAAAAAGTATTATGCTTTGTCTCAGATGATTTAATGTTCATTTGACAACAGGTTTTGGGTACATATGTGCTTTCTGTGGTGCTAAGTGCTGAGAAGATGCAAAGAAGAATAAGATGTGGCCTCTATTTTAGAAGTTACAACTCAGTAAGAGATTTAGATATGTATACAAATAATTATAACAAAAGTTAAAAATTGATGTGTCATGAAAATTACTGTCAAACTGCTCAGGTAATGCAGAGAAAGAAGAGATTCTTTCTGGCTGTGGAAATTAGGGAAAACTTTGGCAGTAGGTGACAACTCATCTGTGACAACAATTTTTAAGGAAAGAAAAATTACTAGGTCTGGGATTTCCTGAAGTATCTGAACAAATGCAAAAAAATGTCCACTATTGCTTTTGTAATGCGACAGGCATCTGATTATCAGACTATGACTCCCGCCTGGGATATTGGAAGGAACTCTGAAGAACTTTGAGCTTTATTCTTTCTGAAAAAAGGGACCTGAAAGTGACTTGTTAAACATCTATGTATGGATTATTTCTCAAGTGAAATTACTTTATGAAATTCCATGATTTGTTTGTACAAGTTCTGTTTGTAAACCAGTCTTTCCAAGGAGTAAGTTAGTTTTGAGAGTAAATTTTTTCATTATTTTCAGTACTAAGGCCTTTGCCAAGCAAGTGATTTTAGCATGAAATAGTGTCTAGACTGAGCAATAACCAAGTCATTACCTTTACAGGTCTTTTGTTTCATCCCAATAATATATGTGAAATTACTTTGAAAATTAGAATGTGGCCAGGTGCAGTGACTTAAACCTTTAATCTCAGCAATTTGGAAGGCCGAAGTGGGAGGATTGCTTGAGGCTAGGAGTTTGAGACCAACCTGGGCAACATAGGGAGACTTTGTCTCTAAAAAAATCAAAATATTAGCCAGGCATAATAGCGCTTGCCTGTAGTTCCAGCTCGGGAGGCTGAGGCGATAGGATTGTCTGAGCCTAGGAGTAGGAGTTCGAGGCTGCAGTGATCCATGATCATGTCACTGCTCTTCAGTCAGAGTGACAGAGTGAGACTTTACCTTAAGAAAGAAAAAAAAAGAAAAGTAGAATGTGCTTTAAGCCTACTTATGTACACAGTACCTCTTGTTTATATAGGGGATGCAGCATATTAGATGTAGTCTGCAGAAGAATCTAAGATACCAAAGGAAACAAATACTGCAAGATGATTTTATATGATAAAATGAGTATTACTAGTTAGAATTAGGTTAGTTTTTAAATTAATAATTTTAAGAGTAAATCCTAAGTATTCACAGAAAAGAAAGATCATTGTGGTATGAAAGATGGATTTGGGTTCGTTCTTTTTTTTTGTTTTTTTTTTTGAGTTGGAGTCTCACTCTGTCACCCAGACTGGAGTGCAGTGGCCGCTTCTGGCCACTGCAGCCTCGACCTGCTGTGCTCTGGCGATCCTTCCGCCTCAGCCTTCCGAGTAGCTGGAACTACAGGCGCGCTACTGCGCCTGGCTAATTTTTGATTTATTGTAGAGATGAGGTCTCGCCAAGTTGCCCAGGCGGGTCTCGAACCCGTGGGCTCAGGCTATCCACTCACCTCAGCCTCCCAAAGCACGGGATTACAGGCTGAGCCACCGAGCCTGGCAGATTGCCAGCTTATTAAAGTTAAGGGGTACAATCTCGGTTTGGTTATGTGCTGCATCTCTTGTCTCTTTTCTCTTGCCCTCTATAGAATTGCTTTTAAGTTACTCAGTACTCCAGCCCACATAGAACTCGCTCTTTTCTGAATTCCTATAGCATGTATAATCTGAATTGCATTATCTAACACTGTTAGATAATATCTAATTAATAATATTGTACATGTATATAATTTGTTACGGTTTTTCCTCACTGTGAGTTAGGAAGGGGTAAGTGATGTTATCACCATTTTACATATTTGGAAACTGGGGCTTAGAGAAGGCAAATGATTTGCCTAAGTTCAGAGTGCTGAGTCCAGATCATAACCAAGGTCTACTGGTTTCTGGTCCAGTTGACTTTCCACAGCATTACATGCTGATGTTGTTCATTTTATTGTCTATTTGTTTCATGCATGTGGGTCTTGTAAATTCTTTGTCAAAGATTGGAAATTCCCAAGAGCTACACTGATAGTTTTCTGAACAACTCAGTGGACTATTAGTATCTATCACTTGTTTTTATATTACTCTTCACTACTCACTGGATATAATGTTTAAAAAACATTTTGACCTTGAATTAAGTTCATTTTAAAATCGAACAGATTACTTCCTAGAATTTTAGCCTTTCTTATAGATGTGACATAAATTCTTTGTAAGCAAGCCCCCCATAAAAACAACTTTTTTCTTATAAAAATAATGCGAATGTATTAAATAATGTTTTCTTATAAAAGTGATGCATGCTAAGTATAGAAATTTTAGGAAATACTGATAAGGAAATAAAAACTGCCTATATTCTTTCCATTGGCAAGTACTTAGAATATACTCTTCTGGTCCTTTTTCTTTGCATAGGTAATATATCTGAAAGTGAATTTTTTTTTCCTAAACAAGTTTGCAAACTAACAATTTTTAAATCTGTGGTCTGTATAACAAATAAAAGTGTGTTTGTTTAGGAGTTTTGAGGCATTTGATATTATCTGCAGGTACATTTTGCTTGTGTGGTTTTTTCCCCACCAAAGACTATGAAGCCATATTATTGGTATCTACAACTCTCAAACACTTACAAAGTACTTGACAGTAGCATTTTGTTCTTTAAATCCTATTAAGGGATTTTGACATTTCAGAAGCTTTCAGAAAGGAAACATGTTTACCAGGGAAGATTATTCAGCACTATTTGAAAAATGAAAAGTGAAAGTGAGAGTAAGATAGGAAATTTAGGCCTTTTCTGAAGCTGCAGTCTGAATATGGTATTTTCTTCTTTAGGCAATCATTGCAATCTGAATATTTATCTATCTATCTAATCTGAATGAGTCTGGTTCAGCTAGATAAGATTGAGTATTAGTATTTTGTGAGGTATTTTAAATAGCTTACTGTTAGAATATTTGTTAGAATTTTTGCCTTGGCAGTCATTTTAGTTTTCTCTTTTGCTGTGGAAATAGAGTTGGTTTACTTTTCAAAGTGATGTATATTTTCAGTTGATTTTATATTATTTCTTGAGCTAGTTCCTTAATTTTAATTGTAGTATTGGTCCTTTTCATATATTATTTATGTGTATAAGTGTAATAACTAACACTTGTATTTATAGAAACATTTTAGGATTTTGTCATCATAATGCCATTGACTGGCTTCCTTCAGTTTCCTCTGTTGTTCTCTTCCTTGCATTGTGTGTGTGTGTGTGTGTGTGTGTGTGTGTGTGTGTTTGTGTGTGTGTGTGTGTGTGTGTGTGTTTGTGTGTGTTTTATTATTTTTTTTGAGTTGGGATCTCACTCTTTTGCCCAGGCTGGAGTGCAGAGGAATGATCACAACTCACCACACACAACTTCATCCTCCTGCATAGCTGGGATTACAGGTGTGCACCACCATGCCTGACTAACTTTTTAATTTTTTGTAAAGATGAGATCTTGTTATGTTACCCAGGCTGGTCTTGAACACCTGGGCTCAAGCAGTCCTCCCACCTTGGCCTCCCAAAGTGCTGGGATTACAGGCATGAGCCAACATGCCCAGCCAGTATTTTAGATTGTATTTTCAATTGTCAGCTTTCATATATATTTGCCATTTAAAATTGACATTAATAAAATATGCTGCTGATGGTTTAACATGAAGAGTAAAAGAGAAGTTGATACTGTTGCCTATTAAAATCTTCTTAAAACAATGATTAGTAAAATTATTCAATATTCAGTTGTCCCTTGGTATCTGTGGGGATTTGGATCCAGAACCCTCTTGGATACCAAAATCCACAGATGCTCAAGTCTTAACATGGTGTAGTATTTGCATATAACCTATGAGTGTACTCCTGTGTATTTTAAATCATCTCTAGATTACTTACAATACCTAATATATAAATGTTATGTTAATAATTGTATTGCTTAGGAAATAACAGGCAAAAAAATCTATACATATTTAGAACAGATGCATACCTCAATTTCTTTTTTGGACTATTTTTGATCCACAGGTAGTTGGATCCACAGATGTAGAACTCACAGGAACAGAGAGCCAACTGTAGTAATTAATAAACCTGTTTGTAGTTGCATATATCATGACAGTCAATTTCTGTTAAGGCAATTTCTAACACTTTTTTTTTTTCTTTGAGCAGATCATGACAAGATGTTTAAGATGAGTGAAAAAATCTTACTCCTATGTGTTGGAGAGGCTGGAGACACTGTACAGTTTGCAGAATATATTCAGAAAAATGTGCAACTTTATAAGATGCGAAATGGTAGGTAAGACTTAGAGTGTAACTGTTAGTTTGCTAGGGCTGTCATTACACAGTACCACAGATTGGGTGGTTTAAACAACAGAAATGTATTTTCTCACAGTTCTGGATGCTAGAAGTCTGAAATCAAGGTGTCGACAGGGTTGATTTCTTTTCTTTTCTTTTCTTTTTTTTTTTGAATTAGAGTATTACTCTGTCACCTAGGCTGGAGTGCAGTGGCACGCTTATGGCCACCCCACCCTCAACCTGCTGTGCCCAAGTGATCCTTCTGCCTCAGTCTTCCAAGTAGCTGAAACTACAGGCACACACCACCATGCCTGATTAATTTTTTTTTTTTTAATTGTAGAGGTGAGGTCTCACCAAGTTGTCCAGGCTGGTCTCGAACTGATGGGCTCAGGCATTTCTGTCACCTCGGCCTCCCAAAGTGCTGGATCATAGGCATGGGCCATTGCACCCAGCCGACAGGGTTGATTTCTAAGACCTCTCTCCTTGTCTTGTAGATGGCCATCTTCTCCCTGTGTCTTCACATGATTTTCCCTCTGTACTGTCTTTGTCCAAATTTCTTCTTCTTAGAAGAACACCAATCATATTTAATTAGAATCTCATTTTAATTTAATAGCTAACACCATCTTGGAGGTGGAGTTGGTGATATAACATCAGACTTTTAAATGTTAGATATTTCAGAGGATGTGATTTGAGCCAAAGACTATTTGAATCTCAAAGTCAAAAGACCTAAGTAAAACTTGACTTTAATATTTTCTATGTGACAAATCACTTATCCTCTCTGGCCCTTTATTTTCGTTATCTCTAAAATGGGATTTTAGAGAGATAATTAGGACTTTTGTGAGCTCTCTTTGGGGCTAATGAATTCTTATCCACTGGGAAATGTTCCCTATCAAAGCATACTAGCCATTAGCCCTCTGATCCAGGAAAGTTTATGGTGGTCCTCTGGCAGGGAGAACCTTATTTCTGGTTATTTACTTTGCAATTCGATAGCACTGTTGCACACTGCTCTGGTATAATATGGAACTGTGAGAGAACTTAATTTGAATATAATTACATGTCTAAAATGACTAGATAAGAACCATTCGTATTTTCTTTTGATTTAAGAGAGGTAGATTTATTAAAGAGAAGATAATGTTGTGAAGGGCACAATGGGCAGGAAAGCAGCAAGAGTGTCTGCTGTCTGCTCATATAGTTTTTTAATTCAATTCCATAAATATTTTTGAATTGCTTACAACTATGGTAAGCATTCTACTTAACACTGCAGAGAATTCAAAGATGAACAAGGCTCAGTCACTGTCATCCAGAAGTGTAAAGCACATATTACTTAGGTTTAAGCAAGTATAGAATATTTCAAGAATTTTGCTTTTTTTTTTAAGTGGTTTCTCATTTTGCCTACATGGCAAGTGAAGTGTGAAGTATGTCAATAATCCTGAAGTATAGTAGGTACAGTAATATTTCAGTGGCTGTCCTAGAAGAGGGGAAGAATGAGCAAGAGTTGCTTGTTACATGGATTTTAGGGTCTAAAGTCAGTGCATAGATCAAAATTTTATTGGGTTAAAATTGCTCTTTTTTTTTTTGGAGTTGGAAGCTGATCTCACTCTGTCACCCAGACTGGAGTGCAGTGGCATGTTCACAGCCATCACAGCCTCAGACTACTGGGCTCAGGGAATTCTTCCGCCTCAGCCTTCCAATAAGCTGGAACTACAGGCATGTGCTATCACGCCCGGCTAATTTTTTTGATTTCTTGTAGAGACGAGGTCTCACCAGGTTACCCAGGCTGGTTTCAAACCCCTGGGCTCAGGTGATCCTCTTGCCTCGGCCTCCCAAAATGCTGGGATTACAGGCTTGTGCCACCGTGCCCAGCCATACCAATTTCTAACCTAAAATCTACACAGCACAGTAGATTTTAATCACTGGAATGAATAAAGTGCTCAGAAAGGCAGTACTGCCTCAATTTTAATATGATTTATGTTAGTCAGTATTCCTGTTTCCCAGGAAAAAGGAGATTTCATGAGCAGAAACACTGGGCTTCTTGTGGTTTCATCGATCAAGAAAATGTTTCTGGGCAGCTTCTGAGCAAACATTTATTAATAGATTGATCACAGATCTGGGGTCTTCACTCTTCATAATAGCACTGTCAGATACAATCATTTTAGCTCTTGCCTCTGCACACTTATGGACAGAGTCAGGACCTATGCCACCATCAACCTCTATATCCAGAGATGGGAACTGGGTTCTCAGCCCGTGAACCTTTGGCATCATATCGTCCATGAATTTCTGCCCTCCAAACCTAGTTTCCACTGTCATAACCAAGGCCATGTTTATTTGATTAGCCCATGCTGCCAAATACTCTAGTTTGATGACAAGGCCAGCCTTCATCCCATTCTCTCAGATGTTTTTAATCAAAGCCCCTTGATTCTCAGCAGCCTCGAGACGAAAGGTGTACTGATTGTCTCCTCCTCCAGCCATTGGCTTTACCACTATTCCAGCCTTGACACTCTCATGAGCGTATCAGAGGAAGAGGCCTTGCCTAGCTGCTTTTGAAGGGTTTCTGCCACAGGGTGACCAAAGGTGGTGATGGGAACAAAATGCCCTTCCATTATATCCAGGTGCAGATAATTGGCCTCAGAGTCAAGCATCCAGAGGCACTCAGCCCCTAAATTGGCCAGGTTGCTGTTGAGGATGGATGGGCCAATCTTGCAGCCCAACCTTCATAGTGCTGGTTCCCAAGAGCAAGTTATCCCATGAATCCCCTAGCTAGACCAAGAACTGAGATAAGTTAAAGGAAAGAAGTAGAAAAATCTATATGTAAAAAGGCAGGTGTCAGACTTTTCTGCCTTTAAGATAATAATGGTCATATTCGTGGTGTTTGGGGATTTAGGTAGAGAATTGAATGGTGTTTGTATTTGTCCAGGGTTGCTTTCATTGTGATTTAATATACACTTAATAGACTTGTAAGGTTGAAATACGTAATAAGCCAGGCTCGGTGGCTCAGCCTGTAGTCCCAGCACTTTGGGAGGCTGAGGTGAATGGATTGCCTGAACCCGCGGGTTCGAGACCTGCCTGGGCAACTTGGTGAGACCTCATCTCTACAATAAGTCAAAAATTAGCTGGGCATGGTAGCGTGCACCTGTAGTTCCAGCTACTTGGAAGGCTGAAGCGGAAGGATCGCCCTGAGCCAGCAGGTCGAGGCTGCAGTGGCTGGGAGCGGCCATTGCACTCCAGTCTGGGTGACAGAGTGAGGTTCCAACTCAAAAAAAAAAAAAAAAAAAAGAAATACAATAATAAATATGAAAACACCCAGCATAGACTTGGAAGCATAGTAGCTGTTTGATAAATATTTGTTTGAATTTTAATCTAGATCTCACCTGATCTGACATTGGTGTTTGAAATGTAACCAATAACTTAACCACATTGCTGCATCTTTCCAAAGTGTCATTTCCTCTTTGGTTCACAAAGTTGTGGATTATTCTTGTGCCTTTTGGCACCCATCCCATTTTACAGGGGTAGTGAGTTCCAAAGTGAATGCATCAGTAAATGTACTCCTGACGCCATTCTTCTGGGTTGTACCTTTGTTGGCATTACAACTTTTTTTTTTTTTTT